TAAACATGAAAAAATAGTGATAAAGCCTCAAAAACATAAAAAATTTCGAACCCCTAGTCGTTTTTACGAATTGCAATCTGTTTGCTCCATTTAAAACCAGGATTTAAAACTAAAAAACTGGAATGGCGAAAAGGGAATATCCGAAATTCCTGCTCACTGGACTGAAACATAAGCGACTTCAGTGATATCGATAACGGTTTTAACAGCAGCGACAACGGTAATCTAAGCCTTGAGGAGGATTACGATTCAAAAGCTAGATCGAAATTTAAATCGTGCCACAGATCATTTGGTGAAATGCCAGCACAAACTGATCGAAGTATGTGTGTTTTGACCAACAGAAGGAACGCTGGAGCGAAGAAAGTGTCGAAAAAGTCAATAAAAGATTAATTTTGCATTTCTGCTCGTAAATAAAAGACGTTACAATTCCCACTCCTACCCGCATGCCTAGTCAGGTCCGTGTTTACAACTAAGGGATGAACCACGAAGAGAGACTGAATCGTAAAATATCATCATACTACTACATCTAAAAGATGAAAGACAGTTTGAACCGTAAAATATCATCTTACACATGACGCTTGAAAAAAAAAAACAATCCTTCTGGTCCATTATTTAAAAAGATCGTTAACTGATTGATGCGATATGCTAATTGTAGTACCATTGTGAAAAAGTGTAGCACCACTTTTAGCAACAGAATCAATTTTATTATATATATATATATTTTTTTTGTCTTTCTACGCTTAGGCCAAGTGAAATATTAAAAAAAAAAAAAAAAGATTTACTACCCCAGCGAATTCCCAAGAAAGAACGGAAAATATTGAAAGAAAACCATCACAGCAGTATCAGTCTTCATCAGAACTTTCACTCAGTTGTAAATCATCGTGCAGCAATTTTTTAGGGTTCGAAAGCAGTTGAGAATATTGTTTTGTTTGTTTTACTGTGGTGGTGCCATCAATTGCCGGCATCGATTCTGAACGCAGCTGCTGCTCAAGAGCTTCTGGAAAAAAGAAAAATTCATCAGGAGATAATGGCAATTTGTATTAGCTATGTGTAATTTTGTGGCAATTCATACATGTACATATATATATATGTATATAAAGAACTTAACTAGGGACAGCCAGAACCCTCCGAGCATTGCCATGCACCAGTTTACACCAGCAGTATCAAAAAAGTGAAGTGAACAAATGGCAACGCGCACCAGACTAGTCGATGCGATCATGCATTTTGTGCAAATCAGCCCATCAAACGATTGCCTATTAATGATTTTCACTGCTCTG